CTTATTTGTAGTCGTTAGTACGACAAACAAATAATAGTAATTTAATTATAGTGCGTAGGAGTACGTACTTAAGTAGGTAATAGAAAGTAAACGTAGTGTATTTCTCATTACCCATTTAAGCCGTCTCCAGCCATTATTAGTCTCAAAGTGGGTTCCTCGTCATCGAAAATGAATTATTTATCCAAATTGTACCAAATAACGGACAATTACTAAAGTGTACGTCGTTCACATTGTTGTAATTACTAGTTTCTTCTCCTTTAACATAACTATAGCTTGGGTAAAAATTATAATAATAATAATAATGTTTTCTAAAACAAATCACAAGTTGTCATGAGATGCACCCATTTATTTAAAATAACGTAGCATTATTAAGCAAACATCACAATAGATGGCGCTATACCATACACTCTTACAACAACCCTTTAACTTAGGTTACTAAATGGTGAGTTCAAAGGACTTCAATTTTAAAAATTACATAACAAATTAAAACATCCCTTACTATCGAAAAAAGTCTCAAACGAAAGCTAGATATTGAATTAGGTATAATGTTTTATTTTAGAGAAAAAGTTTTACAAAAGAAGACTGCTTATACTGACGGTACTCTTAGGCTGCTGCATAGAAAACAACATGGACTAAAAAGTGTCGCTGATACTTGTAAAAATAGTGTATAAGTGAGTGCAGGACCCTGAAAATCTTTACTGGTCCTGAATTTATACTGTGTGTACATTAAAGATTGTCGTTTAATATGGCAAGGCACGTTATGTGACATCTCAATTTTCTCTGACACCAGAGCCAAGCATGGTCCTATGGTGTTAGCGTGCAATACTATGGACTGTGGATCTTCACGTCTTGTAACAGCAACAACAACAAAAATTTCCACACCGCATATAAGAGCCGTGGGTGCGTTATAAGGGTGACAGTCAAATTATACTATTCGATCAGATATGAATAAGGAAAAATTTAGAGGTGACCACTATTTGACTAGGACTTGGTGGGCAGTGCACAGATAGCCCATTGTGTAGCTTTGGGCTTAATAATAAACATCAAACTATTGACCAGCTACTTTCCCTCGAGTCTATTAGTTCAAAATTAGGGACGGCTTGTGCAGACCGCCCCTGATTAGCTTTGCATAAATATCAAAAAGCAAATAATCAACCCAGGTGTCAATTATTACTGTCCCTGTTTGCATCTCAGTGGATCTAAAAACTTACGATGAGTAGATATATACAGACCAATTTTAATCATGCTTCTTCATAGAGCAGCAAATAGCGTATCTTTTATAATTCTCATAAAATCGAACTTGTTAAACACTGAAACAAAACTCCTTGATGACTCTAGTGATAACACTAACAACGAATAATTACAATGGATATGTTTAATTCAGAGTATACATATAATAATTTTAAACTCTCATGGTGATGTCTCCCTCAGTGGCACAGCGGGATGTCTGCGGACTTACAACGCTAGAAACCGGGTTTCGATACCCGTGTTGTGCAGCATACAGATAGCCCATTGTGTAGCTTTGTGCTTAATTACAACCAACCAACTCTTGGTGATGTCTTCCTGTGTTTTTACTCGATCCATTTGTCACTAAAGTCTAATAGTTCGGCCATTTGACATTATTCTGATTCGTTTTCTTCACTTACTTACATTTAAATGAAAAATGAATAAGTTACTGATAAACTCGACATATTCTATTTATAATATCTTTCTATAATAACTTAGAATAATATCCAAAATAATACGACTTCAACAAAATACATTTAATATGACGGTAGTTGGCCACAGTTCATTTCAAATACTAAAGATTATTAGATTTAGCACTAACTAAAGTTACGATTCTTTAGAGATTTCTCTACACAGAATTAAATTATAAATAAAATTTTCAGTGTTCGTCAATAGTTGAATTTATTGAAAAACAAAAACTTTCAATTTCCAACGAGCCTTGAGGACTTCTTGTTGTTGTTTGTTATTAAGCTCAAAGCTACACAAAGGGCTATCTGTGATCTGCCCATCACGGGTATCGAAACCCGATTTCTAGCAGTATGTTTGTTTGTTATGGATTTCGCGCAAAGCTACACGAGGGCTATCTGCGCTAGCCGTCGCTAATTTAGCAGTGTAAGACCAGAGGAAAGGCAGCTAGTCATCACCACCCACCGCCAACTCTTTTACCAACGAATAGGTGGATTGACCGTCACATTATAACGCCCCCACGGCTGCAAGGGCGAGCATGTTTGGTGTGACAGGGATTCGAACCCGCGACCCGCAGATTGCGAGTCGAGCGCCCTAACCACCTGGTCATGCCGGGCCTAGCAGTATGAGGGTCGAGTTTTGAGGAACTGGACTGAGTGGAGTGTCTTGGACTTTCTATTATAATTTGATAAATTGTATAGTTTACACTAAAACAACGTGACACAAGAAATAAGTTGCTATAACTAAGTTGACTGTTTGGTGGGTTTAATTAACATAATTATCATAAATGGAAGCAGACATGTTCTCTGTTGCATTAAGTATTTTTTCGCCCCCGAGTGGCTCAACGGTAATTCTGCTGGCTTACAACGCTAAACGTCAGGTTACGATAGCAGGATTGGGAAAAATGCAGATAACCCATTGCACTTGACAGCAATCCAATCAAATTAACAACAACAAAAAAAAAAAAAAAAGAATGTCGTTCTTTACTTACATTAATATATATGTATATTGTGTAATTGTTACAGTTACTAAAATGAAATAATTTTCAAACACCATCCTTGCATTAGGAGAAACAATATATAGTTATGTACTCAACCTATTGGTAGAAAATATGACGAAAACTATATGTGTGTGTGTGTGTGTCACTTGCCTATTTAATTCTAATACATTTTATTAACAATATACTACGCCACCTACCAGAATCAGATGGCGTATCGCTGTTAAGGTGTTCTAGACTTGGTTTATGCGTGGCAAAGTTAGATTTCATGTCATTACATCGATGCAGACCTGTTGGATTGGCATTTTTGTTGTTTTGTGGTTGGTAATAACTATGATCAATACGAAATGATACCGATTCGCAAAGCGAAGCAGTAGATGTATCTATACACTTAACAGAACTATTTTTTTCCAAAGGCTCATAATCTAACGGATTAATACTTGATGTAGAGTGTAATCTCGGTGCTGTTGTTTTATCGTTCTCCTTTTGCTTACAATTTTCGGTGCAACGACCAGACCACATACAGTCATGTATCAGCTCCACGTTATGCCAGTCCCTAGCCTTTGTTTCCAACAGTCCTCGCCAACTACTGAAATCATCGAAATAACTCTCAAAACCTGGACACTTTTGGTATGGCAAAAAGTCACTGTCTAGAAGATCAGAGACCAGCTGCAGGCGTTCGCACGGACTAAATGGGTGTAGAGAGTCCTCATGAGAAACGTGGGCAGGTGACCGTGGAGGTGTTGGTAGTTCAAACTTTTTCCAGATGTTTTCACTCGGGACTGGTGTGTTGTAGAATTCGTTGTCAGATGAGAGACAATCTAAGCCTTCATCCGCAAGGTATGGCGTTGAACATGAATCTGAGCATCCTTTATAAAACACGTCTTTAGTTCCCATTCCGTCTGTCTGTACACTCGAGGTGCGTGGCTGATTTCCTGAGACGATGACCTCTAATCCCACTGCAACCGATGAAAAACAAATTAGAACGATAGAATATTAAACAAGATTACAATATTTATAAAATAAATTTAACTACACTATAACCTATTTATTTCTAGATTATAAAATAATTTATATAAATGGAAGAAAATATGTTGTAGGTAGTTATTCTTTCTCTTAAATATACACTATACAAAACATTACTAGTAAATTGGATTTTTTTAATATTTTAGCTATCAAAATAAATTCCATTGTTGTAAAATAGTATCAACCACACCTTTCAGTTCATCTTATGCCAATCAGGCCCCTGATGCTTTGTCAAGTAATCTGAAATGCAAATGATTGATTATTCAGTCTACGCTCGTAACTGAACATTTGCTTTTGGCAGCTGTACATTATTTACTGTTCATAACATTTTACTTTGGTATGAAATATGACCAACATCAAAATTAAGTGCAGCCTGAAGCTAATGATAAAGGCTTAAATTCAAAGTGTTAATAAAATATTGAGGTTTTCTTAAGCACTCCTCTGAAAGAGTTCTTATCAAGGCAGACCTATTGTCTGAAGTCACTTGATGGAATGAAATGTTCACATGCTTGATAGGACTGAATTTTCTAGTGAGTTTGAAAGTTTTCCATCGGATCACTGCCTTCTTCTCTAAGAAATGCGTTTATCATAGTTTAACCAGTTTATCATAGTGGGGGGTGAACGTTATCGTTCAGTATGGACAAATTCAATTGTACCAGCTCATTTAGCACATATGGTCGTAGGCTGTGGTTCCTATAATGTGTGGTGTTAATGGTATCATTCTTCTGTATTACAGAAATCACTATGTTTAACATTGCTTATTCCTGCTCACACCATTCTTCCATCAAACCTCTGTATAAAAATGGGCATTGGATTTAGTTCCACATTCTTAAGCATGAGACGACTAAATATATATACATATATATACAGCTTAGGTTAAGAGACCAATCATTTGCATCTTAGATCTCTTGACTAATCATCATATTCCATACTTAAACAATATGAACTGGAAAGGTTATTAACAATCCTTTATATCAATTGTTTTTACCTTGTCACAGGCTTAATATTACTAATTCTGATTACACTTTATTTGCATTGTACAGAATTAGACGTCTCAATAAATGTTCATGAAATCTATATTATAAAGATACTCTCACAACATCGTTACAGTCCATGCCATCACGTCTAGTCATGCTCTATTGGCGACTGAACATCTTGATAACAGCCCTAAAGCATAGTATTTTCCATTGTAATTGGCTCCGTCGTAAGGCAATCATGTCTAAAACAAACAATTCCTTTCTATAATACATGTAATGTATGATGATGACAGTTTCCCAGCACCTGTTTCGAAACCCTGATCGCATAAAAGTCCATAGAGGACTTGACCGGTATTTTTAATTATGGAATAGCATGAATACCCGTTTCATTATTCAGCTGTTTGAGGTATTTGACGGGTTGAACGGAAGGTATGACTGGAAGCCTTATTTTGGTGAATCCATACGCTGTTGGCCTAACTTCCAGAGATCCTTCTTGATTATGTTGCGTATACTGTTGTCTGCGTTACAAGGCTCGTTTTTATCATTGAACTTTGTGTTCATGGATTCTCACCCATTACAAAAATATTGGGATATGACTTCTTGCAGGTCTTTTTCTGGATGATCTTAGTGTCTCAAGTGGATCCATATTCCTTTGTATTCTAATGCCACTAAACACAAATGATAAGTGTATTAATATTTAGCGTTGGAAATAACTGTTACGTACCCCTTTCCAAAGGCGACCCAATTTTCGGTGCCATAAAACTATCTACAAAAAGCCAAGCAATATCAAAATGTAATTCTAATACATCTTGTTCCATCGCAATTTTATAATGGCTGTGATTGTCACGTGATTTGCTGACTTGCATATTCATAATCGTTTTAATATAACGTACTCAACCCTGTAGACAAGGAAATGAGAACCTAAACACTCTCTTGATAAAGTTGCTGAATAAGACTAGTTTGTTTTTATATTCAATAACAAAAAGTCGCTTTTCTTTTAACAAACTATTTTACAACATTTTTTAATAATATTTATTTAACAGGAATGGAAAATGTTTTTAATGCTATCGCGATAACAACCACAAGTCAAAGCCCTATAAAACAAACTATTATTCATTTTTTAAATGCACATCTTTTGGATAAATTCGCAATTATCGTGCGTTTCTTTATGTTTCAATATACAATATCAATACCATGGTTAAATCAGTGTAATATGCATTTGTACAGTATATAAAATACTGTATACAAACTTGTAGAAGCGTAGACTGCTCAATGAATTCTACATAATAATATATTGTTGTAAGCTGCGTTTTTAATATTTTAAATTCGACGTTTGTTGCTAGAGGGCAAATTTCATGATGTAATCTTGAAATTTCATGAAAGTTTGGAATCTTGAAGTTTCACATAGCAAGTAGAAACGACGTAATAATGAAGACGCCAGTCAGTGAATTACAAAATAAGTGAAGTATTCAGTTAGTCAATAAATGGATCAGTTCAGTGCCAGTTAGTGAGTTATTAAGTTATCTGATTCAATTAGTAAGCTAAACAGCGTGAGGAAATTTTTCAAGTAAGTGTATTGGTGAGTTAGGCATACAATTAGTCCCAGAATTTCTGTTCAAATATTGTTTGTAAAACTGGACATACGAATGAAAGTAGCCTGTAACAAACGTTAAAGAAATAAATTAATTTGTTATCGTTATGTGGATTGGACTTGGTATTATTTTTACCAAATAATCCATCCAACAAAAATATTTACACCAACCAAACGGTTTTCTCAGTCCAAAGTTATTCATAATATAACATATAGAAACTACTATGATTCAGTTTCGTATATGCCTTTTTTACCTAAAACAAAAAATAAATAAATGTGTTCAGTAAAAAACAACAAAAACCGATGTAGAATATAAAATAATATGACAATATTTTATCGAATACCACAGTTTCTGTAAAATGGTGTGTCAATATGTTTGTTATTTTATATCTACACAGACTCAGGTGATACACACTCATAATAATCAGTACAAATGACATTTCTTTTGGGCGTTTACTTTAAAAAACTGTTATGGGCTAGTGTTAATTCTCTTTTGGACAGTTAATCCGCAAAAAAACAAGTTTCTTAAAAATATTTCATATAAAAAAGATATATACACAGTTCTTCATGAATATGTTAATTACAGTTATTTTGCGTTTAGGATATTCTAAGAAAAAGGTAAGTTTTCCTGTGGTACGTTTTATATAATTAGTATGAAAGCGAAAACGTTTGTATAGATCATCGAACCTGTGCACCAGCTTCCCAAAGTTCTAGGTAAGACAACGTGGTCTCTAACTTAACGGTGAAACTACAAAAGTGTCATTCCATCTCATGCTCACCATGGAAACTAGAAGGGCTCCACTCACACACGTACTCGCTACTCTACGACGGTTTAGTCGTGAAGAGTTTCAATGTTTTTACAAAAAAATCAAATAAAGAGACAGCCGAAGAAGAGAAGTTATATCTCAAGCAAACTATGTATGCTATAAACTATTTTATTATTTCATTATTAATAGTAGCGAAAGGAATGAAATTGTTAATTCTTTAATTAAAACATTTACAAAATAACTGAATTGTTGCGCAATTAGCAACCAACAATATCAAATCAGTACAACTATGGTAAACCAAAATATTACTTGAATTTATATAGGATTTGGCTACTTATAACAGTAAATGTGTCCTGAGAGTATTTACTTTGTAGATCAAATGAGCAAACATTAATAGAATGACAGTCTACAGCTTCTTATTAAGAAATTTTAGAAAACATAGGTTAAAATTTCGTATAAAATACCTGGACCTTTACAACATGTCAAAATAAGTATGTTATGGATATGTGATAACATATAACTATACAAATTGATTGAATTAATATATCGTATTTTTCTGCATCCTCTACGGCAAAGTAACACAAAGCTACACGTACAAACAAAATATGTTAGCAAACATTCCTCGTGAAACGTTAATTTCTATAGCTCTTACATACCTTACAACTGATGTCAGACGTACGCACCATAAGTCCATTAATCTTACTACACATACAATTACGAGACTAAAACACGAAAGACCGAGCATAGTTTTACCGGCTACAGTGTTTAGAACGTCAATACAATCGCGAAAATTTGAGCCACAATGTATTCTTCCGCAGAGTTCCTGAGCACAGTAATTTCAGCACAAACTGTTTTGGCGGTGTAAATAAAAAGGAAAAGATAGCGTTTATTACAAATATATTAAAATATATGATCCAAGCTTTAATTATAAAGTTATTAAGGAACTATGTTTTCACATGGATTTATACAATCTTTGAAACGACTACTTTGGTTTGGCGCCTTTCTGGGTAAAGCGGGGATCTCTTCAGCCAATCAATACGTACATTTCAAACACACTAGAAAGTGCTTTAAGAACATCACGTGGATGTGACATGAAACTCAAACTGTTGAAACTCATAAAAACTGTATCTCTTTCATGTTTCGAAAAACATTAAAATTGTTATTGCGTACTATCAGTATTTTTGGACAAAATAAGAAAAATATATTAGAGTACGGCAGATTGTAAAATATGCATATTGACATAAACACATGAAATAATACAGTTTACAGTCGTTTTATATATATTGAAAAGTACCTTTGAATGTTCTGTATATATCTGAATGAATTAAAAAGTCGTTTATTTCTAGTATTAAATGCATTTATTTGATTTTTGGGGGGAAATACGACGAATTATTTCAATACTGTTGCAACTCTCAAGTACATTACCTTAAACTATTTTGAGCATCATGATAATAAAATTATGGAAAGACCAGCGATGACAGACCGTGACCTATGGGTGATTGTTATGTCCTTCCACTGCCCAACTCGAGAACTGCAATAGTACCGTACACTAACTTTAGGTTCATCTTGTGGTTCTTTGTGTATAGTCTTTGGTTGACGACACAACGGGGGAAATAAAGAAAATATATTATTATCTATGAGAAGAATGACATGTTTTATCGTATGTTTGTCTAGCGTAGTAACAAAATATGCTTCTTAATAATAGTTACGTAATCAATGCTTAATTAATTATACACAATCGGTCTTAGAAACGAATAAATTACTTTATTGCAATGATATAAAATAATATTAATAATGTTTGTATGAATCATAGTTTATAAGCAAAAGTAATATATCTGAATAGATAAATATTTTGCAAATTAAATGTAAAACGATAATTAAAAATACATCAACACGTGTCATCGGTCTCAATCCTTTTTAGGACAAATTAACTATACAGTGTATTACCTTTTAATGTCAGATGTATGTTACTCCTATCATTGGTCTCAATCCTTTTTAGGACAAATTAACTATACAGTGTATTACCTTTTAATGTCAGATGTCTGTTACTCCTATCATCGGTCTCAATCCTTTTTAGAACAAATTAACTATACAGTGTATTACCTTTTAATGTCAGATGTCTGTTACTCCTATAAGAAGATTGATTAAGTGGGAAGAGTATATTTTTAAGAAATGAAAACGTAATAACAGCAAGCACAAAAACGTTTTACCCTCGATGTTACAGTGATACATTCTCATGTCTCAGTAGTACAATTCAAAACACTACATTTTTATATAAGAACATCTTTTCAGAGGAATCGAACCCCTGATTTTAGCGTTGTAAATCCACAGATTTACCGCTGTACCATCGTGGGATCTGCAGCTTGGGCACTTTTTTTTTCATATTTCAAAAAATTGTAGATTTAGTATTTCCTGTTATCGTTGAAGTTTGTGAAAATTTTGGCGTGGAAATCATTGATTGCAAAAGGACACCCAATAACGTTAAAACATAATATAGTTAAATCCGTTTTCTTACCTCATTCCCAAAATTGCATTAAACTTAAGAATAATAAAAATTTGTTTACTGAATGATACACACTAGTATATATTTACTAATTTTAAACAGTATAAATGATAGAAAAGTACGTTGATTTGTAAGGGGTGTTGATATATTTATTTGACGGAGTAAGAGTTGTATTATTGTAATTTTGTCCAAAGTGCTATCAATTTAATATTTGAAATATGCACACTTCCGTGCGTATGTTTGAATGATTTTCATCATAAAAGTGAAAGTTAAGCTGTGTTTCTCAGTGCCATACTTTTCATGCTCATCACACTGTTATACGAAGACAATAGTGTACTATAACGACAGGAACAGCCATGAGTTTTATATGTTTGTATTCATATTAACATCATATTAGCAAGTTATGCAGTTAATTTGAAAATTTGATAATCTAATGAATCTGTGAACACCACTGGACAATATTTAACCGCTTAAACTCTCTTATAGTAATGTATTGAAATATCACGTTATAGCAATGCCTTAAAATGTCATGTTGCAAATGGGTCAGAGTGTAAAACCTTGCCTGATTTGGAAACAGCAAAACACACAACTCGAATTAAAAACTGTATTATTATATGGATGTTTTCACATTTCCATAGTTAACTAATGATATATATTTAATTAAAAACTTCATAGCATGGAGATTAAGTCTTACAGCATCATTATTTAATTTGTTTCTTCGCTGTTTTGTATTATCATACATTAGGAAAGTAACCCGAGCCAGGAGTGGCATTTGTTTCGTTACGATCACGACGGGAATGGCGGGAAGACTTAAGTTTGCTGGCAGTATCCAAAAGAAACATTGAAATGCGTAAAACTGAGAAAATTGTTAAATTAAGGTTGTTGTTGTTGTTTAAATTCCTCTAGAGCATATATAATTAAGAACCTATAAAATTTCTCGGTGATCTGACGTCGGGAAGTTGGAGTATAATTTCGTTACGGACATACCCAGAGATCAAGCCGCTCTATAGTGTAAATGTTTCCTCTTTTCACATTATGTGTTTGACGCTATGTTTTTGGAAATTGACGTTGTAGAAGGTGATAGATAATCTTGTAACTATAGTTACCGGAAATCGGGCTTTGCTTCCCCTGATTATAAGACTTGGATCTGCGAAAACAAGAATCAAATATAACACCAGAGAGTAAAAAGTATTAAAGTACAAACGTATCATCACAGAGAGAAAGCGATAATGGATGTGATTTTTTTTCTAACATATCAGATGTTATATTTTTTTAGGTGACCGGTAATTTTACTCCCAGTATTTTCACTCCCCATGTATTTCACTTCTTGTAAATTCACTCCTTGTAATAATTTATTGATGTCCATTAATAATCAACAATAAAAGTAACATTTATTAAAAATTGTTAAAAATGATGCAAGTTATGAGCTATTCCTCGTAAAAAGTCCATCTTGTTTCCTGGATTATATGTAGGAAGAAGTACTTAGGTTAGGTTATGGAATACTAAAGCTTACCTAAGTTTTCCTTCTTACATATAATCCAGTTTTAGTATTCCATTACCTAACCTAAGTTTTCCTTCTTACATATAATCCAGTTTTAGTATTCCATAACCTAACCTAAGTTTTCTTTCTTACATATAATCCAGGTAATGGAATACTGAAACTGGATTATATCTAGCAAGAAAAACTTAGGTTAGGTTATGAAATACTAAAACATATTTTTTGACATTATCAAATTATCACATGGAGTGAATTTAGAACGAGTGAAATGCATGAGGAGGGAAATTACCGGGAGTCATAATACTGGGAGTCAAGATACCGGGAGTGAATTCTCCTACAACCGTTTTTTTAGTCTTATTGTTAGGTCATTTAAGCATTAACTCATCACATATTTTCCCCAAAAAATATTCATTTAACAGATATTTGAGTAAGAAAGCACATTATGATAATAACATAGCGATTTATAAGGAAGAGTTTTATTGATGGTGGAACATCCTGAACATTGATCTGTCTACTTCAGGTATGATCAGCACAAAGCAATACAGGGTTTATTTAAAGTTACAAAGACTAAAGACACAAAGATTGAATGTGACGGAAATTATGTCAGCATGTAATATGTTTCTCCGACAACATAAGTCTTCTTTATATTTATAAATCGTTGTTTGCCAACCTTTTATACTTTAACATATGATAAATGATTGTTTAAGCGATCGTTTTATCGACTTTATCCGATTTTTGATTGTATGGCTGCTCATAATTATCAAATGTCGTTCTAAATATTAGGGGATTATTATAAAGACAATAAATATGCTATGATGGATAATATCAATTCTTGATTAACATTTACTTGCTCATATATGATATGTCACCTTGTTATATTTATCATTGCAAGTCAACTTATACACTCAAGTTTAGACATGTTCCATATCTATTTAAAATCATATTAAAATATTATGCTGATAACAATAAACTCCTTCATAAAATAAAATTCCATGTGTGTGTTGTAAGCGTAGCAAACTATATTTCGCTAAAAAAGATAGTGAAGTTTGTTTGTTGTGAATTTCGCGCAAAACTACACGAGGGTTATCTGCGTTAGCCGTCCCTTACTTAGCAGTGAAAAAATAGAGGGAGGGCAGTTATTCATCACCACCTACCGCTAACTCTTGGGCTTCTCTTTTACCAACGAAGAGTGGGATTGGCCATCACATTATCACGCACCTACTGCTGAAAGAGCGAGTAGGTTTGGTGGGACGGGAATTCGAACCCGCAAATTGCGAGTCGAGCGCCCTACCCACCTAGCAATGCCAGGATGTTAGTGAAAAACCACAATAAGTGTAATAAACTATCAGAAGACTTGACATTTTAGAAATCGGTTTTGTGCGTCCTCTTTACTCTCACGTTGTCTTTTGTGCGTCCTCTTTACTCTCACGTTGTCTTTTGTGCGTCCTCTTTACTCTCACGTTCTCTTTTGAAGCTGTACATATTTTAAGTAAGATCTTCGACTGTACGAGAGTTAGTTAGACCACCGATACTTTTTTTTTCTCATTAGAGTTTTTCTACCAAAATCAGTAAGTTTTTCTGAAACCTTCTAAGACTGACTTAAACCTATTTTTGTTTATTTTTAATGCTTGATTTGTTAAAGTATAACCACTTCGTTTTTTGTTTTTTTTTCTGAAGAGTAGAACGTTTCTGTCTCAGACATAAATTTGGTCATTTTTCTGCATAC